TCACCAATTAACCTCAGCATGTTTCTGGACTGTGGGAGGAAGCCGGAGAACCCGGAGAGAACCCACGCTGCACGGGGAGAACATGGAGACTCCATGCAGAAAGATCCCGGGTGTCCTCACCGGGATGTGAACCGACGACCGGCGAGGCGATGATGCTAACCACCGAGCCACCTGTCTGATTCGTCATTTGACTCTTTTTCCTCACGAAATAGACCAATCACGAGCCACTTACGTCATTCAAGAGGAACTAGTTGTTGTAATGAAGAGCTATTAGGAATATAAAGCTTTTAATGGTTCAGGTTCATGTGTTTTTTTTATGCAGCCACTTTGCACATCAACGCTCTGAACTTCATACATTTAAACATGGTTCCATAATGAAGGATACGAGGAATTCTCCGTGACAAATACCAACACACTAATAATCAATTTCCCAGTCTGTGTTCTAGTAGCTGCAGCTCCAGCAGCGTAAACAGACTTGGCAGCAAATCAGGAACATTTCTGCATCGACAACTGAACATGCAGGTTGCCGTGGCAACATGATGCATACAATTCGGCTACTGTACGGCGTGGCGTTGCTCGCTGGGGTTGAGAATCTGTATTGCAACGGGAGAATATGGTCGGGGAGAGAATCGGTGCTTTTCACAGCTGATTTAAACCTCAAACTCTGAACAGAACCTCCGAAAGAGCAGCATCAGTTGCCATGGTGATCTAGCAGGCCTGAAGGGAGCCACCTTTGTGACACTGAAAACTCCCGACTACTACACTGATCTGGCTTCGTGGTGCACCAGAGTTGTTAGAACATCCTCAGGCGACCGTGAACCTCTGCACACAGTTCATGCAAATCCATCTGCAGATGTCAAGTAGACGAGAAAACTTTAATCCGCTGTTAAAGTTAAAAATCACCAGATGTTTGGGTTGAAGGCGCCGAAAGGTTCTGTTCAGGAAACACAGGCTGGATCCAGGAAGAGAACAAAAAGTCTGAGTCTTGATTTGATTGAACAAGCAAAGCAATTTATTTACAAACATACACAGGTAAGAAGTGTCGCCATGAGTCCGTCCTCGCTTAGTGTGCATCGTACGGCAAAAATCTTTGGGCTTGCAAACGGAAATAAGCTCAGTATTGTTTCCTCTTAAATCAACACAATCCATGCTTCCCTTGTGACGGTTTGGTTTCGTCGTTTCAGCTCAAACACCATCAGCAGCGTCAGACTCATGTTTTCTGATTTCGTGGCCTCTCAATACTCTGCGGTAGTGTGTCAGACAATTTCAAGATTAGAAAACAATAAAATCAAGTTGAGACACGTGCCAAAGAAATTGAATAAATATCGTCTAAGTGGTCACATCGGAAGTTGTTCATTTTCAATATTTATTTTTTTTAAATCAACAAGTTTTTTGCAAACGTTTGATCCGTGATTCGACCCCTGCTGGGATCTCGTTTCCATTCTTCCCCTCCTCAAGAGAGGCTTTGCTGAGAGAAGCATCCCTGAAGGCTGCAGGGACTCGTCGGTGTCTTGCTCAAGGACACTTCAGCAGGGAGGATAATTACTGGCACAGGGTCTTAACCCACATTCTGCACGTGAAAGGCATTTTCTCTCAACCCCGGAGCAGCCGGCTGCCGCTCCCGATCGCTGCTTAATGGCATGTTTGCACTCGTGAACAACCATCTTGACCCTATTAGAGCACCGTAAATGTGCTAGCAATACACTCTAACATAGAGCACGGGAAATTCGACACTGATAAAAGTCGGTCTGGTCTCCAGAAGTCCATAGCAAGCATCTGACTGGTAGAAAACGAATGGAACACTGCAGTGAAAATAGGAAATCACATCTTTTCTGCAAGTACCTGTGTACAAACAATCGTTGCTTCTCATGCGGATAGTTGAGACTAGAAAAAGGTGTGAACAAACCATGAGAGAGAAAAACAAACCATTCCAAATGACTCGTGTGTGTGTGTGTGTGTGTGTGTGGTGCTCATGAACACAGCTTATGTTCCAGGGTTGGTTCCCAAGCTCATTAAAAGTCTGAAAAAAGTGCCCCCCTGCCCCCATGTCTTGCAATATTCAAAAAAAGTGCACTTTTAAGACGATGACTTGCGAGAAGAAGAGTCACGCTGAGGAGTAACAGTCCGGCCAAAACCAGCCACTTAAAAGGCCTTTGTTTAAATTTTATGCAGGTCATGAGGCAACCAATCATACCAAAGTTTACACGAAGGAGATTAATGAAAAGACGCGATAAAAATGTTACAATCACTGGTTGTTTTAACCGAGAAGGATTTAAAAGAAGAGAAGCTCTCTTAATCAACAAGAGAGGAGTAAAATATACAAAGTGATGAGGATGAGGAGATGTGGAACATGCAAACCAGAGAAACGACTTGTTTGCGGACAGTTCGTAGCGGTGATGAATGCAGAAGTCAAACGATGGAGAAAAGTTTGTTTAAAAATGAGTCCCTTTGGCTGATCTCACGAGAGAGGAGGGGGGAGAGCGTCGCAGTGATGAGCGGCTGCAGCTCGGTGGCAGCCGGCGGTACCGTGAAGAGGAGGCGAGGATGGATACGGTGGGCGGGGGATCAGGAGGAGGAGCCGGCGGCCATCCTCCTGATGGGTCACTAATGCTAGGAGGCCTGCAGCAGGCGTCTGTAGTGGGGCATGATCTCGTTCTCGGGCAGGTGCAGGTTGAACTCCAGCGCCACCAGGACGGGGAACTCAAAGGCGATCAGCTCTCTGCGGTTCACTCTGAACCTCTCCTCCAGTTTCTGCCAAACAAAACAACATAAAACAACAGCTTGGATGAAACAACGGAAGCTTTTGGATGATTCGTAAACCACACCCGCTGATTTTTAACCTGAACTTCATGAGAGCAAACCCTGAAGAGTGAGTCTTTAGAAAACAAAAAGGGGACGTCTACTATCTACATTTACATATAATGAAGTACAAGTGAAGAGAACTTTCTAAAGTCTGGTTAAATAATCCCAATGTATGCGGTTTGGTTTCAGATTGTTGACAAAAAGTCTGGTGAGGGAGGCGCCAATGAAAGACGTCACTACAGTCGTCCTCAGATCTAATCATCCCCTTTCCATTAAAGAAAAGAGAAATCCACAACAGTCACTCAAATAACTAGAAACTGAAAAAAGTAATAATAAATAAAAATTTGCTAAATTATAATTTAGTGAAATAAATGTTGCTTTTGAGTTGTAGTTGAAAAGAATAATTTAAAAAAAACAAAACTGTCCCGGACTAATCAGAGGCCTTTGCTGATGAGCAGTGGTCCAGAACACCTGTCAACAGGTGAACAAGTCTGACTGAGAGTTACAGGAAACACCTGATGGCAGTGATTGGCTCAGAGGGTTGTTCAACTAAATATTAGTTCACGGGTCCATCATGCTGGTTTTTTAAAATATTTCTGTTGAACCACAATTCAAAAGCAATGTCATGATGTTCATTACATTTTTATTTATTATTACTTTTGTCAGTTTCACCTTATTTCAGCTGTTTTTCTCCTTCTTTAATAGGGGGGTGTGAATACATATGAGGACGACTGTAGGTGCATTGTGGGAATTTTAAGTTCCTGCATTTTTTGGAGCTCCGCCCACATTGAAAACAAACTGTCTTGAAACAGCCAAACGCTGCTTTTCATGCCGATTTAAACCAACCAAACCCGTCTCGTGGATCACTTTATGTAAATAATGACTGTATTTTCTTTCTAGTCTCTGCTTTCATTACACGTGTGTGAATCTCAGCCGAGGTTTACTGGTCGTACTGGAACATGTGTTTGATGTGATTTCAGAGGCGTGCACGAGGGAAACTCACGTCTATCAGAAGCTTAACCTCGTGCTTCTTCAGATCACCGCCGATCTTGGCCGCCAGAAGGACACAAGCTCCAGCGCAGAGCTTACGGTTCTGTTTGTTCAGTTTGCCTTGAAGAACGAGTTTTTCAAAGTAGACAAAGGCCATGGCCACCGTCGGTTCCTCATACCCACATTCATCCTGGGCCAGCTTCCTTATCTCTCTCTTCAAGCTGTGTGGAGTGAAAAAAACAAAACAGAGAAAAGAATGAGGAATGAACGGCGAGACGGGAGAGGAGAGCAAGAGGTTGTAGCGGCAGGAAGACAAGTGAAACGAATTCAACAGTTTTGTGTTTCACCTCCGGATCTTGCTGAGCGTGAGCCGTATGTGTGGGAACTTCTCCTTGAAGGTCTCGTTCATGTCCTTCTTGAGGTCAGAGGGTTTGACGTATTCGATGACCGTCGTCTGGAAAGGAGAACCAGAGATGGTGTCAGGATGAGCACACGGGATCCTCACAGCCCAGTGTTGGATTCCACCGTCTCACACGGAGGCTCGGCCGGTGAGGCTTAAAGGAGGAGCACTGATACTCTACATGTTTTAACAGATTCCTTAAAAAGACCAAGTGAGTGAATCCTGTTCTTGTGCTCTTGTGTAACAAACACATTATGAATGAAGACACATTAATCAGTCACGCTGTTGCCCGTCATGATGAACAAGCATCATGTGGTTTCCAGTCGATCCAACCCGTCTCCGTGCTTTAAACACCGACCAGCTCAGCACACATGTACGTACATTCAAAAATAAAAAGGGTGTCTTTGAGCTGATCAGTGAACGGTGACGGAAGACGAGGGCGCGTTGCTCGGCTCGCTGGGAGGAAAGTTTTTTATTTAAAAAAACCTCCTGACGGCAGCAAATTGTGCACACGACCGAAAAGCAGAAAACGAAGCGTTTCCTGAGGAAGGTCACCCAGAGTTCAAACGAAACTCATGTTCTAATGCATCCCCTGGGAACCACGAAACGTTGTGCAAATCTGTTTACACAAACATCAAATCAGAACAAGTGAAAGCTTTGAGCGACACATCTAACAACTGTCAAGAAATCCCACTCTGGATCTCAGACGGTTCATCCTCTGACGCCCAAGAACGTCTGCACCAGTTATAAGGACAATTCATCCAATAATCGCACCAGAAATATGAAACATTAGGTTAAAGGATGTGCAGGGACAGTTTCCACAGAGGATCTGTGCACGCTCCCACTGTACCGGGTCACTGGAGGGTTCCTGAGCAAAGAGTTTTAGGACAGAAAGTCTCAAGATGCTGAATTTAATAGCTGTAGCTGCACTTTGAGTTTACGCTAATCTGTGAATGTAGCAGACGGATGAACAATGCAGATAAATATAGATGAACAATTGTTTAAGTTCACGTATATGTCTATTTACTGATTCAGTCGTCAACCAGAATTTACTAGAACTGAAAAACTTGATAAAAATGCGACTAATCCAGATTAATTAATTACAAAGCCTCTAATTAATTAGACTAATTATTTAATCATGTCATTAAAAGGTATTGGAGACAGACAGGTTTGGTGAAAATAATAAAAACACGCGTCATTGTCAAGCTTTCACTTCAAATTTCTAGATGATATTTAATATACTTGATTGCTCAACAACAGTTTGTCCTGGTTCAGCTAAACAGGATCCTGAGTTTTAGTCACGTGACGCTCGCAGCTGAGTCACTGACGGCTTTTCGGTTTGGCACACAGCGTAGGATTGTAGTTTTCGTGGTTAGAGACCTGTTTAGATCTCACTCGGCTTCGTGACCGAACGGCGCTTCACACAATTCTTCCTCTTTTTTACAGTTTCCGGCGTCGTTTTGGTGATTCTCTCAAAGACGACCTGCCTTTCAAAGCTGCCGGGGTTCAGAGGGTTAACATCACTGCAGCTCTGAGAATTAGTCAGGCTGAGAGTTTGGAATAAGATCCTTTAGATTTAGAATGTGGAGATGAACAGTTAATAAAATAAATAGTGAGTTGGTGATTTACTAATAGGTGTTACATGGACAAAGATAAGTCAGAACCGTACTTTAATGAAGTGTACGCTGAGGACACGCTGCGCTGTGCGGCTAAAAATACAAGGATGACTCCTAACATGCATGTATGGTGTTGCCTTCTTCACTGTGCAGAGTGTGAATCATGTAATCCAGGCTGCTGAGCATGAAGGAGAGGAATAAACAACGTGTAGCCCTCACAGGTTAACATTAAACCCAGACAAAATGAGAACATAAACCTTGTCTAGTCTGACCAGCACATAAACCTCTCATTATTCTGATTCTTTACCTCATAAAGCCACTAAAGGGTTCCTTGTGCCATTTCTATTCTGGGTCACACGAGTTTCCTCAATTGCACGGCGAGCAGCTAATATTATCCCCTGCTTGAACTTGAAAGTTCAACTTCCAAGCAGCCTGTGCAGAACTCCTGAAATGCTGAGAATTTACTGCGTCCGCACAATAGCTATTGTTGTCCGACGCCAGGTTTCGTAATTGGAGGAAGAGAAGACAGAAAAAACACTAAGCCCGGCCTTGACTAACATTTCAGCGATGTCAGACCTCGTTGTGTATTCTGCCGGTCGCCGTAGCAAAAACAGAGCCCAGCAAAGAATGAGGTGGGAGTCTAGTTGTTGTGTTTTTCCACAACCCTCTTCCCCCCCAACCACAGCAAAACATCCATTCTGCTCCGGAAAAAGTGTGAGAATGATAAGTGGTGAGGCACAAACATGGAGCTGTTGTGCTGCTGGAGGGGCAGTTTAATGCCTCCTGCCCGCCGTGCAGGGGCAAAGAGTGTGTGTGTGTGTTCATTCAGATTCAGAGAGCCTGGTCCACTGACCTCGCTGATTAAACCGTCCACTTGGCTCCTGTTCAAAAACAGCTGATAAAAGTCAGGAGGATTTTTCTCTTTTTTTTTCCAGACAAATCTTTTTCTTACTCTCGGTGGGAAAACTGAGCATAAAGGATCCATTATGATAGAAAAAACATAACCGCTGCAATGAGATAACGCCGGACATTTTCCACAAAACACGTCAAAACAGAGATGAACCTCTCAGCAAACAAGCAGAGAGGACGAGGCTGCAGCTGCTGCTGGTGGTGGAGTGTTTTCTCACCATGTAGGAGGGGAAGATGAGGACTCGCTTGTGTTTTCCACAAGGCCACTGCGGGTCATCCAGCAGATTGGGGTCATACTCGCGAAAGTCCCCCAAATCGTTCCCTGCCACGAGCACAAACACACAGCCACAGTTGAGCTTCTTCCTCTTCCAATAAAAATACAGCAGATAATGAAAAACCGATTGTGAGGAACGCTGATAACGAACCTGTGTCTAAGCTGCTCTGGTTGCTGTTGGCCCGGCCCAGGCTGAGGCTGCGGTGGCTCGCGTTACGGGACTGAGAGAAGGACGACGTGGAGTCGATGGTGTTCCTCCGGCCGCCCAGCACGTTGGTGGGATACAGGAACTGGGTGTAGGACACAGTCTGCAGACACAGTGGAGTTAGAACATCTGCTTTTCTGTCAAAGCAGGAGAAACACCAGCAGCTTCTATCATTCCAGTGAGCCGGCGTGAGCACCAACAGGAGATCGGACCTGACTTAGCTAACAGGAATGCAGCCGTTAATGACGCTGCTAATTGCCCCCGGAGTTTTCTCCTGAAACATCAAACTGCCACCAGGAAAAAGGCTTACTGCATGTGGTTCAAATATATATCAGAAAGTGTGTTCGTCTGTGGAAATGACCTCACTGAGCACAAAGTATTAACCCTCTGAAGTCCAAAAATGACACCGATTAGAACCAGAGGCTGTAAAAACACAGAACCAATCATCAGCTTTTCAACTTCCAAACAGTCCTTGAACTCGTCATCATCTGGACACTGAACCAAATCTTAAAATTCACCAAAAATAAGCCATTTGCTGTAACTACATCCTGTAAAAAACGAAAAATTATACGTTCCTCTGTTTAACAGTGAAGCTATGAGTGACACAGCTCTGACCAACAGTGACATTATAAAAATTCAGGGACTTTTCAGCCGGACCGGGCTGAACTGCAGGCTGTGTACAGAGAAGACAACGTGTGGATCAAATTAAAAATGTAAATACTAAAATATTTACAGCATGTACAGCCACTATTTTTTCTCCAGTATGAGTAACACTGTTGGACATGTTGAGTCCTTTTGTTTTTTTTCAATTTTTGCAAAATAAATATTCAAAGAAATTCAACTTTTCTTTCAGCTATTATTATTACTTCATTATAACTTTGTCAGACGGCACAAAAAGCATGTTTGAGTTCTCCTCTGGCCTTGTTGTGCTATTATCATCGACTCTATGTTGCAGTAAATGAGCCCACAGCGAGTAAAAATGGAACACAAGCAAAAACAGTTAGAATTAAACACACAAGCCTCTTATTCAGTTCTCCTGTTTAGTGTTTAAATTCCACTGATTAGACAGATGAGTAGTTCAAGGACCATCGTGTTTAAAGTTTGACCGTAAATAGTTGAGTTATTTTGTCTTTCTCTGTGCAGCCAGTTGTGCTTAAAATAATTTGGGAATTTAAATACATACAGAAACTGATTTAAATACATATCAGTGGTATCTTAGGGGTAGTTTACATTTCCAGATTTTGTTTTTCTCTGACTTTTTTTTATAGCCACAGTAAACAAAACAAAAAAACATCATTTGGGTCAAAGAGCTTCTATAAACTGGTGGATTAACCATTACAGAGACATGAGAAATGATTACTGTGGGGCAGCTGTGGCATCAACCCGACCTGTTCAGCGCTGTCCTTTATGAACACAACACAAACGTTTTTCTGGCTCCTCACCTTCCCGTCAGCTCCCAGCTCCACCCCCTCCAGCCCGATCACCATCTCTTTGGCACTCACGCCTCCTGACGGGTGCCGCTGGCGGCCTCCTTCCAGCTTCACATCCCTGATGAGCACAAGACTTTTAGAGGCACACAGATGACGCTGCAGCTTCTGTCCACTCCCACCCTCTCCCCGAAGCGTCCTGCTGAGGCTCCAGGTCCTCGCTCATCGCTCTACAGATATAGACCTTGTATCGATCTGCACTCATCAGCTGGCCTGGTTTCTGTAATTGCCTGTGTCTCTGGGACCTTCTCCGGGCAATCAGAAATAAAGTGCGCCCTTGGGAGGGAGGATGGAGGGGAGTATGGTTTCGCTGTAGCGGGCCAGACTCTCAGCTGCTGCCTCACCAATGCCTGAAATGCCATACTGCTGTGGGAGATTTGCAGGAGGTCAAATGCTCTCCTGAAGCAGAAAAGCAGACGGCTGGAGCGTGAAGTGTGTCAGTGGAGCAAACAGCACACATGTTTGCATCGGCCAAATGTTTCTGGATGTCATGTCTGCCGCTGAGAACTTACAGCACACTCGGGGCGACACATGCAGAATTAAACAGCGCGCCCATGAAGGCTGATTTAACGTTTGGATACGAGGATAAAACTCAGCAGCAGAACATATAACCTCCACTATCAAACACAGGCTGCTGCTCTGGTTTAACTTTACTTGATGGACTTCGGGCGCTGCCAGTTGGGGCTAATTTAGCGTGTGTGCACTGACGGAGAGGATTTCATGCTTGCAGGTCACTTTATTCACAGCCTGTCATCATGAATAACTCATAGCAGGGACGTAATGGCAAGATGGAGTCGAATTCTTTCCAGCAAATTAAAATTCGTGATTAGAAAAAATTGCTGGAAAATGAAAACGCTCAAAGCTAAAAAGGCAGCGCTGATGTTCCAGACTTAGAAATCAGTCTGGCCTGTTTTTTACGTGCAGTGAGAAGGTGCTCAGTCTGCTAACAAAGACATCCAAACCTCCACCTGTGTGAGTGCTGTGATAACTTAAAGGCTTTATGAGGGCAGCTCTTGTTTTTCTAATGCTGCTAACGCTGCGTCCTCACATGACTCCCAGTGTTTTGGCGACACGTCGACCCCGCCCGTTATCATAAAAACAGCGCTATCTGGCAGACAGGCACGTCAGGACACAATGTTGACAGATGCATCACAGACATGAAGATCCCCAGACGTCTCACAGAACAGAGAAAATAAAATGGATAAAAAAAATAAAACAAAACAGAGGAGACGGGAAGCTTTCTATTGAGAGAGCTGCTCTGTAAAGCCATCCAGAAAATAAGATTCTGCTGAGAATATTAAAAGGAAACGAGAGGAAAAGCTTTAGTAACATGCATGAATGAGAGCTTTAACCGTGTGTTAGTCGTGTTACAGTCGGTGCTCTGGTTTGAAACCTAGCGTCGGGCAAACAGAGAACAAACATTAACACGACTACACCAATCTTGACCCCTGTGGGCTGCTTTGCTGCCCAACACTTTACTGCTCACATAAACAGTTCATAATATTCCCTCGCAGTCTTGCCCCATTCCTCCTATTACACCAAACTTACGAGCACCAGTGAGTTTTAGTTTATTAATCTCAGCGAGGAAACGTGTCCTCTGCATTCGACCCAAGTAATATTTCCACCTGGGAGCGGACTTCAAGCTGTTGTTGTGTTCGTACGTGGAGGAGACTGATGCCAGGACATGCAAGCTGATGGTTGTGAAGCATCCAGGGACGCCCCACGACCAGAGGTGGAAACATCGGCCAATCAGCACCTCCACAGCTCAGGAATTATTGAGTTACAGCTACGAGATCAAAAGTTTGATTTCAGAGGTGCTGGTTGGGCAGATGTTTCACCTCTGGACAAAAACATGCTATCTTGGTTCCAGTCTTGATGCTAAGCTAAGCTAAGCATCTCCTGACTTATTATTAAACAGATACAGGTACAACTGGTTTGGGACCTGCTGTGCACATCTGTTCATGCAGCGGTGAGTTATCGTGAGAATAAACACCGACGGAGGAGAGGGGAGGACGGGAACACCAACAACTGCATGCAATCAGCTGCGTGCGACTAATAAAAAGGCTGTTTTGCGGTTATTAGACTTGACCGGGTCAGCCAAAGTCTAACTGTAAACTGTCGATTAGCAGCCGTGAGCAGTCAGATGTGCTTATTGGATATCCCCGGGGCGTTTATTAACCCTTGACCCGGCGCTGATTGGCTGGCTTAGGAAATTCCACCAACAGACTGAGCCTTTCATGCTCCTCGCTAAGCCCTGGTATGGAGCTGTTCTTTCTGCGCTTTGTATTCCCTGTTGTTTATCTGCCCCCTTTCCCTTTCACTTCCTCCAAAACACACCGTTTCATGTGACTGGGGGAGTGAGGGGTGTCAGAACCAAGGCCATACCAGAGCCATCCCCATGCAGGCCAGGTGGGTCCCCTCTACAAACAGCTTTATGTCGCTTTAAAAAAAGGAAACAGGCATTGTGTACAGATAAGCCGGAGATTATTCCTGTTCAAGCACTGAGAAATGTAAACCCCGGCACAGAAAGACAACAACAACAAAAAAAAAAAGGTTAATAACATGTCACGGCTGGATGAGAAACTCCAGTCCGTCAAATCGTTAAAATAATTTCAGGGTTTAAATTTCTAAATCTAGGAAGAGAGCGAGACCCCCCAGGAAAGGTGGATATTAAACGCTAAACAGCAAAGCCAGCAACAGTTGCAAACAGACAACAAAAAATAAAATGGGTTGGTTGAACAAAAAAAAAAAAAAAGTATGAGTGCCCAAAAGCCACCAGAGCCATAATGGAGAAAGCCATACAAGCAACAAGCATGAATCTAGTCCTGCTAGACGCCACATTGAGCCTATGAAGCCTCCTGCAGCCGGGCTTGGTTTACTTTTTTTTTTTTTAACCTAATAATAAGAAAAATGCATCCACCAAAACCAAACCTTCAAGGGGAGAGCGTGTCCACAGAAAAAGAGGGATGAGGAAACAAAGGGAAAAGAGGGAGCACAGGTTGGACGAAGTTCGGCATGCTGTAGGATACATACCCTGCTTGGCTACAATCTCGATAGGGCAGGACAGAAAATACACTATAGAAGGATCTTCTGCCACTGATAAGGACTATCCTATGAAAACAAAAACGGCAAACAAGCTAATCAACATCTATCCGACAAAGATCCACAGGTTAAAGATGGAGAGAGTTTGCAGTAAAATGAATGAAGAGCTGAAGCGTCAGTGTGAGTGTTGCTCTGTGTGGTTCAGTCAGTGGTTTGTGGGCAGAAATGATGCATTTTTGATACAAGACTGTAGATTTTTTAATAGTTTAAGATGGCGTGTGCTAATTTTAAACTGTGTGTTTAAGACAAACACTCTCTAATCAGAGGTGTTTTCCAGCGACAGAGGGCACGACGGCTTTGAGTCGCTCTACAACGGCCTCGTGATGATAAAATCAACATCAGGACAGAAACACCACGAGTCACAAAACGCTGCATCAGACCTGCATATGAGAATAAATAACTCCAGCTAATGGAAGAGGAGGAACTCGTGGACACTTACACATGAGATCCGTCTCTCTACATCAGGGGTGCCCAATCCTGGTCCTCGAGAGCCCCTAACCAGCATGTTTTAGATGTTTCCCCAACACAGCTGATTCAAATGATCAGCTGATCATCAAGCTCTGCAGAAGCCTGATAATGATCCTGATCATGTGAATCAGGTGTGTTGGAAGAAGGAAACATCTAGAACATGCTGGATAGGGGCTCTTGAGGACCAGGATTGGGCACCCCTGATCTACATCAACCAAATGCTGAATAATAGAAGTAAATATTAACAAAAGCAGCTACACTTGGAATAAAAAAAACACACTAAACTGATTACAAAGGGCCAGAGCTCGACTGTATCACACAAATCAGAGGAAAAAAACAAACTGGACTACCTTGAAACACTCCATAGCTCACCTGGTCAGGTCTATAACAGTCATTACTTTAACACAACTGGGCCAGAATCGTTGGTATTCAGGGATCTGTGTGTTGTGTACGTGCTCGTGTAACCTGTGACACGATGGATTTAGTCGTGAAAGTGATTCGTGGTGTGATTCTAATAAAGTCTAAATGGTGATCAAACACAGAGTAAATAAGACGTCATCAGGCTCTACTGTGTGTGAACATTTCTCTGTGGGTCAGAGCATGCTGTGGACGGATCGGGTCCGCTCGCCTGTAACGTGAGAAACATCCCAACAGCAGCTCATTGACTGGGGCAGCCTGCCATAACTCAGTGAGGACGTGTACGGTGCCGTTGTTTGCCTTCATACCTTCCATTGCGCATATCGTGTTGCCTCATGTTCTTTATGAAGTGGATCTTCTTGAAGCTCTTTGGTCGGGGTGAACCCGATAGGGTTCGGCATCTGAAACGTAGAACAAACGTAAAGCGTCAGTACCTTGAACACACGGAGGAACCGAGGCGAGCATCACGCTGAGCTGAACGTCTCCTTCTAGTCACAGCAGTGTGAATGAGGGGCTTCCTGAGCGATCTACTACCTGCGCAGAGGAGCGTTTTCTTCTATGTCCTCTAGAGTTTCAAGCGAAGAGCGCTGAGAGATGAGTCTTCGTCTGGAAGGACAGACAAAAGGGAAGTGTGAAGTTAGGGGATGTGAAGAAACGTCCTTATCACACCAAAAAATCTCAACTGTCATTTTGCAGAACTTTAAGAAGAAGTCTTTTAAAATAATAACGATCCTTCTCATGATCATTTAGAGAAACAACGACAAATGCGGCATTACAAGGTAATATAATGAAAGGCACAACTCCTAGAATGGAAAACGTGGGAACTGAAAATCCATCAGAGGTCAGTTTCCACACGAACTGAGCATTTACCAACAAAACGTCGACCAAACAGCTCTGAGCAAAGCCGTGGGTCAATAACTGGCTGAAGCTGCAACTGTTGAGAAACTCAACACCGTAGAGAATACAGCGATGGAGGAATGTGTTGGTAACGGTTTCACAACCATCCAACTACTGTATTGTTCAATAAAACCTCCCGTAAATCTCCATCTTTTGCAGTATATCAGAGATTTAAATCGTTCTTCGTGTGGCGACGGTCTCCATGTTGTGTGCACCACAAATAAAGAGAGCAGCTCCAGCAGGTTGGAGGTGGAGAAACCCAGGAAGCAGCCACGACACGTTGTTGATGCTGCATGTAGATGTATTATTAAAAAACCCCTTAAAGCTGCACAGTCACATTTTTACTCACTGTGGGCTCATTTTTCGCTGCAACATAAACTCCTGCACCGCTATGGAAACTAGAGGGAACTCAGAATGTCTTTTGTGCTGCATGATGTAGTTTTTATGCCATAAATCGAAAAAAAAAAGGTTTAATTTCTTTGCTTATTTATTAACTTTTTTGAAACATGTGCATCATTTTTGTGCCCACAGGTGTCACCAATACTTTAAAATGATGACTTTACACACTGTGGTTATCTTACTGCTTACATTTTTAATCTGCTTTCTCACTTTTAGCCTGTAGTTCAGCTGAATAGCCCTTTTATTTAATTATTAATTTATTTAATAATTTTTGCATCATTCAGGGCTTCAGTGCTGAGAAGTGCAGATTTTTTAAAATTTATTTTTACACCAAGATAGATTTTAATGATGGGAAATTGTTTTATCACAGGAGCAAGTGCACAAAAAATCAATAAATTGGACTAATTCTCAGATGAGATGTAAAATAAAAATGATTTTGATGAAACAAGCTTAAATTTGGTCAAATTTCCCGACAAAACCCGACATTAGAGACTCCTCGAGGACAAATCCGGTTTGTTTCTACAGTTACTCACTCTGATGCAATGACGGTGATTCTTCTAAAGAAAACAGGCTTTTTTAAACCAGTTTTGGTTTTCTTAAGACTAAATACAGTTTTGCCTTCAGAAAACATCGTCTGTTTTCATACCTTTAACTCTGGACACCAGTTAACTGACAGACAAACACAGTCTTTGCACTAAATCATTAAAGGTTCGATATCCGGCAGCAGAACAACGTTTCAGAGCGAAGGTCAGACGATGGTGTCCAATCATCACCTGTCCTGGTTTGTTCTGTGGTTAATTTACAAAAACAGGTTCTGGACGGCGGACTGCCATCAATCAGCAACGCGGCGAGCCTGCGTGGTCGAGCGTCGCTCCTCAGCGTCGATCACGGAGAGTTTTCCAGGATCAGAGCTGCTAAGAGGATAACGAGTTGGCTCTGCAAGCACTTTGTGTAACACATTTTGTCACACATGGCCTTTATTTCACACTTTAGCTGCTCGACTCAACGGGCTAATTCTTGCTGGACCACTTTCACACGATCGGCTGCCAGATTCGGAAACAAACCCACATGTTATAGCTAAGCATGCCCGAGCCGTTTCCAGAATTAGGTTATAATGGCATGTTTAGCACCGCAATAACTGCATAATCCCACTCATTAGTCAGCATTACAAAGTGCTGGAAATTAACACATTAGTGGTCAAATAACACAAAGCTGACACATTCTCCCGAAGGGGCCGTCTGTCATCCAGGAATAAATAAACCTGCAGCAGCCTCGCTACTTGGAAAAAGCAGGGAAGTGAGTAAACAAGTGGCTCTTTATACCAGGCAGACTGCTCGTAGTCATGCACTGTCTCAAGTTAAAATGTGCTCTGATGTTTCAGCCCTGCAGCGCTAAGATAAGCCGAGGACACTTAACCCGACCCACCCTTCCTTCACTCAGCGTCTCAGCCAGAGGGGGAGACGGTGAAGTGGAGTGGCCGGTTAATAAGCGACAGAGCATGAGGACAAATTAACGAAAGATGAGTCTGTGCTCCAGGATCTCCCAGAGTTTAGAAGGAGGCAGGTGGAGCGTACACCTGAGGAGACGAGGCCAGTGTTTACATGAGCGGCCGGAGCAGTGAAGCAGAAACCCAGAGAACATCCTGCTGAATATTACCACCCCACTGATCATAAACTAGTGGAGCTGTGATGGAAAGGCACAGACAGAACCTGAAATCAGCTCTGTGTCTTCTTGTCTGAGCTGAAAGGTCCGTGACGAAGGGCCGGGCCTGACCTCCAGCTCGGCCTCCGCCTGGAGGTCAGACCAGTGGCATCATGTGATTTATGGCCAGACTTACGTCATCCTGCCTCGGAGACAACACCGAGATGGACCGTCTGGATAAGAAGCTACGAGTGCTGCTTCCCTTGGAGGACTTGTGTTTTTATTTTCTTTCTAATCACTTTATTGAATAAACTACTTTATGCCACATGAACACTTCAGATGACAGGAACATAGAACCGTCTGTGAGAGCAGAAATCTTTGTGTTTAAATCCAAAATGGGCTAAAATGTAGAACCTCTGTCTGAAGACTGGACTTAAAGCTTCATAAGAACAACGGGTCAGACGGCTGCACGCGGCACAAAAGCCGCCTCATGCTAATGAAGCAGCCGAGGAGGCTCCCGGCGGAGCGGCTCTCTCCCAGAGTGTTTTTCAGCTCTTTGTTTTGGTTTCACCGCCCACAAATGAGCGCTTTGCTTCTCGCTCGCCACTTTCATCAACATCATTTTTCAACTTCAGCAGGCAACGTTTAGCAACGAAGGAGCCGCATATTTCACTCAGGAAAGCCTCCGTGTGTGCCAGAGGCCAGGGCTAGATGTGAAAACAGGCAAAAAATAATAATAATAAGGACCTAAAATGTACATATACGTATGTTAAATGAACATACTTTGAGCAGCTCACTGGGCTTCTCTGAGAAATGAATCCAGCATCACATTCAGCCTCTAAAATGAATGTTTCTGTTCAGGAATGGGAGTAAATAACTATAATCTGAATCAAGACATAATAATGAGCTTTACTATTTTTTTCTGGGTTTTTGGTAAAACAGTAAATGTTATAATGCATGCATAACAATAATAATTATATTTTACCATTAAAAACCATCTGGCTCAAAGAGCTTCTACATACTGGTGTATGAACCATTACAGAGACATGAGACATGATTTAGATAATTACCAATGCTGTTCGTTTAGGGCAGATGTGACATTTATTAATTAATTTGTATATTATTCATTGATAGATGAACACATACACAGAGAAAACACACACATCAACAGTTTACTGTAAACTTAAGCCACAGCTGAAGTTAAACCGGCTTTTTTTATTTTTGAGTTAGCTAGATTCAGCAGGCATCTTTCAAAGTTTGTCTTTTTAGCAGATATTAGACTGTGGCCAATATCCAATATGCTCACATTTTTCAGCTCTTTTTGGCTGCAGCAGATACATATTTTTTCCACCTACTTCCAGAGAACATCAGGTCTGTGCTGTAGTGGAATTAACATATTATTATTGCTACTCCTACGGAGGTGGCCCTTTGCAGGCGTAAAATAAAAGGCTTTTCAGAGCACGCCGTGTGTATTTTAACTAAACTTTATCCTACTTTGCAGAGCTCGGATGATGCTCTCTCTGAAAAAATCCTGAGAATCTCCACAAGCAGGCCAAATGTGACCTACTTCACAAGTTGCAAAACAAGTAAATAAACGTAATCTTTGTCCACACGCGCTCCCTCGTGCCGGAGACGCAGCGCCGAGCATTAGTCAGCGTCCTCTTATCTGCCTGTCAAGCCTCATTTTGGGCTGATGCCGGCGTTTCATTTTAAAGCCTCGGTACCAACGGCGTGGCGATATCATCGTCTATCACTGCTTTTTAGTACAAATGAGCCTTTTCATCGTAGCAGGACAGTGTTTCCTTGTAGAGCCGCAGTGGACCAATAGTGGCACAAAGATCACATTAACAACACGCCAACTTTGGAAAACCAGAACTTGTCCACTTTGGTTTCAGAGGACTTCAGTCGTGTAATGATCAGTTTATAGTGACAGTTACAGTGCATGTAGGACTAAGTATGACGGACGAATCTATTCCTAAACTCTGCTAAAAGTGTCACACTGCACACCAGATCTGTATCAGAGAGGACATAACCTCTGTCGGAGTCGTCTGTCTGCACTCGGTCATTTTCCAGTCCAGTTCTCAGTGACTTGTTACCTCAACAAGTCACTCACCAGTTGGCTAAAGGGCACGTTTCCAAGTTTATGAGGACGCAGCTGAACTGTGCTCGAGAGGACTTTGATCCGACCACTGGAGACAAACAGCAGGACGTGCTTTTAATGCAAAAGATGTTCTCCAGGTCCGTGGAAACAATAACACGGGCCGGGCCACTCATTCACCTCAGATGGCGCTCTACCGACGAGGGTCAGAACAATCCAGCTTCTGTCCGGTTTGACATTAACTCTCTGGCCCGCTCAGAAGCTTCAGAGAGGCCTCGGTATAAATCAGCAGCGACAACAAGCATCCCTCTTCAAAAGCAAGTCCCGCCTCGAGTGATTCACTTTAAGCACATTTGGGAAGCTGCTTGTGCTGCACACAAAACACACTCGCCATTAAATATCTCAGAAAGCGATTGATAATCCTGCCCTGCGGTGCCATGCCACGAAGCCATAAAACTCAAGTGGACTATTTAGATGTGGAGATTAAACGGTTTCACACGTACGACCCGCTGGCAGCTCGCCACGGGACACTTCCATTTTGTCGCCCAGTGAAAATAAATGTAATGTTCTGGGCTTCTTTGCACAAACACAGTCCAGACTAACGGAAATGTGATTATTCTGATTAAAAATAAAAAAAAGCAGCCAGGGCAGTTCAGCCTCTCTGATCCTCAAAGGCACCAGGAGAGCAAATGGGACGTATCAGTAGATTTAAAAAACAAATAGTGTGTGCAGCAGCACCGTGCGGCCCTGCTGGCTGCTCACAGGAGAAACACAACAAGTGATAATGTGGAAATTGAAACCCGGGGGCCAATCTGAAACCGTATATAGTGAAACACATGCTGACCCTCGTTACACGCTCGCCTCATTCTTGCTGCAGATTTTTTTTTCTTTTCCAGTCCAATCTTGTGGGCTTTTCTGAGTGTTTCGCTGACAGCTCTGACACCGAAACACTCTGCAAAGGAAAATCAAGCGTTCTTATATAATCCGGCGATTATGCCAACCATGACCTCAGCGAACAACAATCAACCTCATAACCAGAAGTATGCGACCCAATCGCACAGAACTCCAGAGGACCAGTACGGCGGCTTGTTCTCCAGTTAACGTGCTGTAAAGTGCATATTTCTGCACTACCCACCGGTGGTTGTAACATCACTAAAAGAGGGCACGAGGAGACTTGGTCGGTGTTTTGAGGGGGAAAGAGGAGAATGAGAGCTGCTCTACACCTCAGGCAGACGGGCCCAGATGGTAATAGGTGTGCTATATTTAAAGCACAGCTCTCGGTGCGCTGATTCATGATGAATGAACTCTGACGAGCGGAAGGAAGGCTGAATGTGAAATTATCCGTCATTTTCATGCTTTTGATTCTGATGAGGATATGGTCGAAAGCGGCTCTGGCCTCCGAGAGTCTGTTCTGGCGGCACATCAGAGGCTCGGCGACTTCCTGAATGGGAGCAGCACCGAAGGCCAAAAAGTCTGAGGGGAGAGTGTGTCTCCGATGCCCCTGGGAGAGGAAGCGGAGGACAGAAAATACAGAGCGGAGAGCCAGGCTTGCTTCTCAGAAAGCCTGGGCATCCTGCCTCTCCCAGCCAGGGACCTCTGGACACGTTTCCACCAGCTGCCCTCAGAAAACAAACCAGGCACTGTGCAGAGCGCTCGTCTGTCTGCACGCCGGTGGAACATGGCCTCGCTCCATCAGCAGGTTGCTTATTTCTCTGCGTTAGGATTCATTTTGCGTGGACGTCCTCCAAGCACATACCGAAGGCAGGGTACAGGCAGGGTTTAACAACTTCATACTGTATTTAGTAGCTGAGCAGAAGCGGGATGCCAGACATGCAACACTGCGGCTGTGTATTGAACCTCTGTAGTTTTTTTTAGTGCCAACTGGAATGTGTCCTTCGTACAAAATATTGAAAACTGACAAGATGTCCAAGCTGACAAGCAGTCGCTGCCAGCTTCTACTGGTCTGCTGTAAACAAATGTACTCTACATTTAAGTCCTAATTCGACTGTGTTTTATTTAATGGCTGCTTGTTTAATAATGTTATTTGATGTAGTTTATTTCTGAAGCTCTGTGCCTCCTTGCACAGTGTTTTTTCTGATTATTTCCTGGAGCTCTTCAGAGACTGCAAAATGATTTATGGTGGATTTTTTTGCACCTTTTTCAGGATTAAAAACGCACAGATTGCTGCTAGTTTGCAGCTTCCAGGAGGTCGAGAAGGGGAACTAGATGCTCAGTGAGTGTTTCACCAGAACGCAGAGCTTCCTGAGAGGGAGGAGAGGATTTGAATGGAAGGCAGAGGATCTGACAGCAGGTTGTGACGGTGAGCGACGACTGTTACTGACAGCCGCCCCGCTGTGAGGCGAGACCCTCCCAACGCTCCTCCAGCGCGAAGACGAAGCAAAGAGGGCAAATAAAAGACGTGAGATTAGCAAAGGCCCTGTTGCATGTGGAGTCGAACAGAGGTGTAGAGTTACAGGATGTGTACGTCACGCACGGAGCAGGAGGAGAAACAGGTGTGTGCCAGGCTGTGGAATGACATTCACTAAAAATAATGTGAGGTAGAGCAAATTAGGCACCGAGCCAGAGAACATTTATGTAACAATCAAAGAAAAACACGAGAGAACAAAAGCTGAGAGACGCTGATCAGGTGTGCTCAGCTGGCTCTCAGGGGAAACTAGACCGGCCAGGTGATCATATATAAGCGTCCAGGTGAGCTGTGACGGTAGAACCACCTGCATGGTGCAAAAATACAAACCGCTGAACTTTCTCCTCCGGCTGCGTGTTGCTTTGTCCAAGCTGAGTGTGTTGCTTAGAACCGAACGCACCTTTTCAAAACAGCTGACTAGAAAGAAAAGTGCAAGTGAACTGCTCCTGGTGTTCATTCAGCTTCAAGTTTCCCCCCTGGCTTCATAACTGAGTAATAACATCCTGAGGAAAACCTGCTGCTCCACTACGTCTCATGTTATTGTAACATGCAACACATGAGGACATGAAAACGTGTGTCTGCAGGTCTGACTGCTCCTGTGCCTCCATGCACTGGCACACTTTTATGACTTTAAGGGTACAAACACATCTTTTTGTTGGTTTGTTTTGTTTGCACCAGTTTATTGACCTGACGGTGCAGATCCTGCAGACACACGTGAACCTTCACCCATCATTTCATCACCCGCACTGTACGTGGTGTTCCCAACAGCACACACAAGTGAAACCACTGCGAACACTGTTACCTTGACCTCTGCAGCTCTATCTGTCCGCCCTCCAGACAGTAGTTCTGGGAGGATTGCCTGGAGTAGGGGGCAGGTAGGATTCCCTGAGTGTACGTCTGCAGCCTCCCTCTGGTCGAGGCTGGCACCGCGGAGAAAGGCGAGCTGAACGTCGAGGGCACGAAAGCGTCGCCCTCCGTGTCTGGGCCAGCCGTGGGACCCGTCCCGAGGCTGGCCCGGCTGCTGGCGAGGAGAGCCTGGTTTGCAAAAGCGAGCGCCTGGGCGGCCGTGGTCGCCGCCGCCGCGGCAGCAGCAGCAGCAGCGGCTCCAGCGGCTCCGTACGCAGCGCGCTCCGGAGAAACCAGGCTCTGTCTAGTCCTAGCTTCGAGCGAGTTATCCTCCTCGTTCTGATTGTCTGCATCGTCTTGCACGGGTCGCCCATCCAGAGAAATGTTGCTGAGAAAAGACAGCGCCGCTTGCCTCCTCCTCGGGTCTATGCGTTTCCGCGTATGCTCAATGCTGGAGTGCTTTATCTGAAGCGTGGCTGTGGATGTGTTGCTGCTCGTGGCGGCCGCCATGGTCCACCTCCCGTGATCCGAGTCCCCGCAGCAGCAGCAGCAGCGATCTCACCTCGTCCACATTAATATTGTGCTGGTCGTGCTTGTGTTGGTGAATGGTGGTGCCCGTCTTTTAAGTACATGCGTTTAACTGGGGGAAAACAGGGAGGTCACGTGTGTGCAGTATTGTGGCAGCACAGGGAAAATTTGGACCAATGAGCTGTCGGGAATACATGTGTGGTTTTTTTTCTTCCTTTTTTTTTTGTACCTTTTCCTGGCTGCTGAAGCCTCCTCTCGCTCCTGTGCCAGTGCGTGCCAAAATTACATAAAGCGGACACGCTGCGTCTGGAGCGGTGCGCAATTATGATCTACAAGCAGCTTGTCCTTTCTGCCGCATCATTTTATCATAATACATGTTTAATGAAGAGGCGTGAAACTTTCCCGGCCAGCTTTTTTTTTTCTTTTTTAACATATATCACGTATTGCCCTCATGTCCAGAGAGCTGCTCGCTGCCTCCTCGGTGCGCACAGATGTACGCGCCGTGCTCGCTGACAGAATGGGGCCTGGCTCTGTTTGTTTTGAGAAAATAGATCATTTTCTGAACCGGACGAGTCAGCATCTCTGAGGCAATTGCGCCATCTGTCTGCTTGACGTGTGTGCTGTTTGTGGCCACAGCCCTCTGAAGTGCGCCATCTAGTGGGCCTTTCTTTCAGGTGCCAGCCACAGTGGTCCACGCAGTCAGCATGTTGTGATGAAAATGGCGGGGTTTTGTGATTTAACTGAGGATGTAATAAAGGTATACATGTTGTATATGATTTAAACTCATAGAGGAATTATGCAGTTGAAACAGATCTTTGATTTAAAAGTGAAATGGAAACCATGCTTATAGTTCTTATCTGTGCTCTTGAAATGAAGCCTGCCGAGGTCAAATTAAATTGTTAAACAGGATTTAAACATCTGCTCCGATGTGCTTTTTGTTACTCCACATACTTGGAACATGCTCCAGTAAAACTTTAATGAAGGTTTAATTACTGCTATTATCGATTGTGATTGTCATTGCTTTCATTTTTTTGGTTTTATTTATTTGTCTCCTGGTCAATTCCTGCACTTTTAAGCAGATACAGCTGTGAGTTCTCCTTTTATTGCTATTTGATGTTAAGAGTGTCTATATTGATTGTATGTGTCTCAGCGCTAGTGAACATTAAAGCTTTTCTTCCTCCAAAGTTTTAAATGAAAATGATGATGACGTACCCTGTTGTGTCTAAGGTCGGATACACGGGCAAGCAGCAGAACACACGCAGCAGCTTCTTCATTCTAACCGACTATACTCTAAAAAATATAGTTTAGGCTTTACATTTTATTGAATTAACTGTCTGAAATTGTCCAGACATGTCAAGATAGTGGAGAGACTTGAAGTCCTGACGTCAAAGTGAGGAAAACTGAACTTATCAAGCCAAGTTACCTCAACTTGAAATATAAGCCAACTAACTCAGAAATTTGAGTTTTAATTACCCACAATATTGAGCTGATGCACTTTTATTATGCCACCCCAAGCCATCAAAAATGTTGTTTGCAACTGCAATAGTTTATCTAAATAACTAACTAATGAATCTTTATCCTGCAACCATGCATTTGATTAAGTGATAGAAATGGGTTTCTGAAACTACAGCGTGTGAGAGTGTAAATCAGATCTGTCATGTGCCATGTGGTTATATTTTGGTGTAAACACAACTTTATTGAGGATTAGGCATCATGTGGGAACACTATGTCCTAGATGTAGTCAAAAACACATGGCCTTAAGACGACACAGCACTGGTAACGTGATCTGGTAACAATGAGCTCCACTGATGCTAATTTCCATACAAATCTGCTATTCATCTAATTACGCGGCGGTCCCTGGGCTTTTGTGGCGTGGAGCACCGCCTTGTTTGCAATGCTCATTCAACAATGTGGCATTTAACCTCATTTTACAGGGATGCTCTTCTCCCAGTTGCTAAACCAGCTGGCCTGTGATAACTGACATGTTTATGATCACAATCTCCCTCCTGACTTTGACCAAATATTGCCAGCTACTATCAGAAGAGGACAGTGCCCAGAGGACAGGGACCACTGAGCAACATCAGCACAGAATCTAAATAAAAATGACAGAGCGGCGGCTCAGTACCTCCACTAACCTCATGTCATGCACCTCTTCCCCTCTGCAACAGCCACTCTGATCAATTCAAATTGTATGTTCCCGTGGAAATCCCCGACAAAGTGACCCGAGCCCGGTCAAATCTCCAATAATTATGCTTTGAAGAGGAATTAAGGCCACAGGTTAGAACATTTCAAAGTGCTTTACAGACAAGCTGTTCAAAGGAAAAACTAGAAGTGCACAAAAAAGTGTAAAAATCAATAAATAAAGCAATAAAATAACAATAAAGTCATATATGAAATATAAAAAAGTGAAGAATAAATAAAGGTTTATTACAATGCTAATAATTTTTAAAAATGCATTAAAACATCTGGAAAAGATAAAAGACATCTAATAGAACTTGCTGATGGGTGTAAAAGACAAGAAAATAAATGAATACAGGAAAACAGAGGTCAACCAATATGGTCTTTTCCACCTGATACAATTAAATTCCAATAAACCAATAAACATCTGCTGGAAAAAATCCTCCCAAAAAATCATGTTTCACCAGCTAGGACCACACCAACAAACTAAAGCTCAGTTGTTTGTTGGATACGAATGAGCGTTGTGTTGGTGATGACTTAGATGAGCTGATGCGGTTGTAGGTGAAATGTTCAGTCAGAGATCAGCAGTGGCTCCTGGGCCGGCAGACCCCCAAAAAGCATCCCATAAGAATGAAACATAGAGTGGACGTAATGTGGGTCCTGATTGTTGAAGCAGATGAGAAGCAGAGAAACTTGAGGAAGGAGACGCCAGAGAACATGCTGGGATTCTGGATGTCGTCAGGACTTGTTTAAGTGGAAGAGGAGTCGGGATGATGTTGAGGTTTGACTGGTCACTGTAACAAACTGAGGGTCGGAAGGCGAAACATCCTGAGATTTCCTGGTTTGTATACGGTGTACTACAGATTTCTAAGGGCTTGAGTGTGAATCTAGTTTGGAGTACATGATGGCCGTTGGAATACCAGCTTGACTGGTTTGACTTTGTTTGAGGGAATAGACCAGGCAGTCTTTAGAGATGCAGGAAGGTCGAATAATGAACTCTGTGCTTTGCAGGAACAAAAGAAGGCCAATCAAACGGTTGATTCTAGAGTGGTGGATAGAGGCTGGAACGTAGGACGTTGGAACATGTTGATGCCTTAAGATAGGTGGACAGACGTCAGTGGAAATGACCACAGTTTATAAAGTATGCTGCGGAAGTTGGTTAGGTTTTTCAAGAAGCCTGTTGAGGTGGTCTGGATGCCTGATTCGGACGTCTCCTGGGCGACTTGTTGGCGTATCCAGAATGAGCCGGAATTGTTTAAGCATGGATAGAGATAAGTCAGACTGGCCTCCCTGTTACAGCAGTGTGAGAAGCAAACTATTGACAAGGTATAAGGAGGCTAGTGAACCAGCATCTTGGCCACTTGTGGGTGGAAACTGTCTGAAGGCACTTGATGTGGAGACTAATGAGTCTGGGGCTGGATGAGTTCTGAGTGTGTGTTTCAGTGCTGGAATGTTGATGGAAGTTGCAGCAGACGTGACATAGGGTTAGTGACTTGGTTGTGTTTTTTGAGGTTGTTGGGGTAAACATCTCAAGAGTGACCACTGCTGTAGAAGGAGCAGACCTGCTGGTATCTGCACTGAAAGTGACGGAGAATCTGGCATCCCAGTGTGTCAAAGTGGAGGGTTGCCGACATGGGGGTAGTAGTTAGTGACGCTGGCATCCCAGTGCAAGGAATCAAAGGCAGAAAATTGATGACTGATGGGGTACAAAATGGTTGTGAGAGGAGGCCAAACAAGACCGAGTGATGCTGCAGCAGAAGCAAGTGTGCAGGTATCTGCACTGAGGCCTGCTGCAGCCAGCGAGCTTAAGTCTGTTGCAGATAGTTTGTCCTTGTAACTGAAGCACTGGTTTTCCTTAAGTCAACGCCTTGTGGCAAGAGCATGGGAGTGGGAAGCTTTGTGGCCTTGGGAATAGCAGTTAGCAGTGATGCTGTAGAGTGAAGATGATTGAAGGAGGAAGATCTGCTTCGAATTGTGGACAGTACGTGTGGTGGCTGGTTGGCTCAATTATCCTCGGCTGTGACGTGTTAAAGATGAAAGTGCTGAAAAGGGGCAACGATACAGCTCCTAGAAGCAACACCCCCAATAGGTGTCTTAGATGAACTGTTTGAAGCGAACTGGATGGAAGTATGATGAACGCCTGTGTCACCAGGATGGAGGGCCATGTTGAGAGTTAGAGTCAGGTTATTGTTGAACTCTTGGACTAAAAGCTGGCAACCCAGTGACAGCTCATATTAGTAGAGGACAGGAACTGGCAACCCACTGCCAATAGTGGCAGGGAGCGCGCCAGAGAGAGTTGGCTGGGGATGGGGGATGAAAGGGAGGAACTGGCAGCCCAGTGCCAGATGTGAAGGGAAAAGGCTGTTGGGAATGACAGATGTGTTGGTATCTCATGGCCAGAAATGGCTGTAGTGGTGGAGCTGGGACCAGGTTGCAGTAGGGGAGGTTGCTGGTGGATAGGATGAATCAAACATGGCAACCCAGGTGGAGCTATCGTTTCCGGGTTCGGCGGGACTGAGACGCTTCTCTAGACGCTCGCCTGCTTCGGACGTCAGCGCTGCAGCGAGCGGAAGTTGAGGAGGGACCGGTTCCGTCCTAGTCCTCCTGAGAAGAACCTCCCTGGTCGGAGCTGGGACCGGATGAGGAGTCTGATGGAGGACGGAGAGAGGAGTTCTGGTCGGAAACGTCTCTCCGGGACGAGCGACGCGGTCAGCGGCGGTTCTGGAGCGACGCGGGGCTGCTCGTCTCCGGGGCCTCGGTGTGGATCCGGCTGATCGGCGTGGAGGAGACCTGGAGCCGGACTGGACGGTCCCCCATGGAGG